AAAAAAAAAAAAAAAAAAAAAAATCAATGGAAAAAATATCCTCAGGTGAGGATTTAAAAACAAAAACAAAAAGCCACAAATCATTATTACCAAATCTCTTCTAAATGCTTAACTATTCAAGGCCTGTGTGGTCCGCATACCCAGAACACTCTGATTTCAAATCGCTGGGCCCACATGGAATTAACCAGAAACCACCTTCGCCATTTTGATTTGACTATGTAGCTCTGGTTTGTAGAAACAAAAACAAACAAACAAACAAACAAGCAAAAACCAGCCCCCGAAGCAAGGCGTATTAAATCCCTCCTATTTACTCCTGGTAAAGCCATAATTCCAGGACTCACTTTGGACCATGATAGGCTTCCCACTTGTTCACCTGTGAACCTACTCAAACACTGACCCTGGGCTTTTACGGACCCAGCAATTCTAGACACGTCACCTCAGCAGGAACGCCTATCATTTGCTACAGCAAGAGCGCAGAGAGCTGCTCTGTACTCTCGGATGCTGTGAAAAGCTACAGCACTGACTCCATCTGAGGGCCTTCTGTCTATTTGTCATCTCCAGGCAAATCTGAGAATTGCTGTGGGAAAGACAGAGGTGACTTATTTCGGTCCTTTGTCCTATTCTCGGGTTGATTTTTTCAGATTTGAGCTGTGGCTATTTTTAAAAATCCCATATCCAATATATAAGATGCCAGGAACTTTGCCAGGCATCTAAGAATACAGATACCTTATAGCCTAATGCAGAAGACAGATATGAAAACAGATAATGCGATCGAATAAATTTTGCAAATGAGGTACATTCTAAAGGCTGTGAGATCTCAGGGAGAAAATGGGTAACACTTGCTCAGACAATTTGGGAGAGGGTCATAGAAAAGGATCTTTTGGGTGGGGTATTGTATTAGTTATCGATTGCTGCATAACAAATTACCCCAAAACATAGCTGCTTAAAGTAAACCATTTTTTTCTCTACATTTCTATGAGTCAAGAATTTGAGAGCTGGCTCAGGGTTTGTCATGAGGTGGCAATCAAGTTCCTTCACATGGCTGTTGGAAGGAGGCCTCCCTCAGTTCATCTCAGTGGGGCTTCTTCATGGGGCTACTTGAGTGTCAGCTGGCTTTCCCAAGCATGAGTAAACTGAGAGAGACACAGAGGCAGAGAGACAGAGAGGTCCTAGCTTGGATATCACATGCCACCACTTTCTGCATATTCTATTCATTAAAGTTACTAAGCACAGCTCACACTTTAGGGGATGGCAATTAGGCCCCATCTTTTAAAGAAAGAAGCATCATAGAACTCATGGACATATTTTTAAATCACCATGAGTACTAAAGAATGAATAGAAGCTTTCTACAGAGAAATAGAGAGGGAATGGTCTGGACAGAAGGAACAGCATGTACAGGTGTGAAAAACCATGAGTTTCAAGAAAAGTGAGGAATTCACCGGAGGTGTCCAAACTTATTTTAGCCTTTTAATTAGACAAAATCTTACAAAGAATCCCAGTACACAAAACAAATAAAATTTGTTCTACTACAGTTGAAAACAAGTGAAGGAAGGAGAAAGGGAACTCCCACTCCAAGGCAGCCTTTGGGAGAACTCCTGGAGGCTCTACTAGAACTTTACTAGTTGTTTGAAAGCCACTGCTATACCCAACAGCTATTAGGGTTCATCTATAGGTACAAGACATATTCTGTTAGTCTTTGTCTTACTAGGTAACAAATTATGTTCTTGTTCTATAACTGGGCTGTAATTAAATAAAAAGTAAACAAAATTCTTATTAAAAAGAGAATAATGATCTTGTTGCAATATGGGGAAATCCCAATTTACTCATGGGATATATTCCACTTGTAAGAGGGCTCTTTAGAATTCTGTGTATCAGTTAGCTCTGGTACAAAGATTCTGTGTAACAAACCATCCCAAAACTCAGTGACTTAAAACAACTTTTATTTATTCTCACAGCTGCAGGTCAACTGAAGATCAGCTCATTTAAGCTGCTACTCAGTTCCACGGCTCTGCTTCAAGTTGTAGGTCAGCTAAAGGGGGAGCAGCTGCCCATGGAAAGCTCCTCTCATAGAGAGAGGAAAAACGCAAAAGGGTGTGAGAGGCAAGCAGATAAAAAGCAAAGCCTCTTAAGACCTAGGTCAGGATTGGCACACTTTTGCCCATCAGGCTGGCCAAAACAAGTTCCATGGACCAGCCCAAAATCAAAGGGTAGGAAAATACACTCTACCCACCTGAGGCTAAAGCAAGAGGGTGAAGAATTGGAGCCAATCAATCACTCAATCTACTACATTTTCAATGTTTATTTTATAAAAACAAAATTTAAATCGTAGCTTATCATATTTAGCTCATCAAAACTGATTTAATGCTAACAAGAGTAACACCAGTGGCGTAGCTTCAGGTAATCGGATGACGCGGACACTTTTTTTTTTTTTTTTTTTTAAGGCACATTTTTTAAGTAAGCCAAGTTTGTCTTCCCAGCTCACCTTCTTCACCCCCTTCTCAACAATGCTCACATCTCTCCACACGTGCCCTGCATCTTAGTTGCCCTAAATCCCTCACCTCTATGCCTCACTCATCCCTCAACACTTCCCTCTTCCCAGTTATTTCAGCCCCCAAATTCAGAACTCTGAACCCAATATAGACCCTCCCAGCTGGCTGCCAAAAGGAAACCCATCTGATTTATCCAATTCACATTCACATATGAATGGCCCGTTGCTTCTTAACACTCCCCAAGATATTTGTCTTTTGAAAGGAGCCTGTCCCATAGCCCAGTGGTCCTCCCACTGGTGAGATTCAAGACAGTAAACACATGGGTAGAAGTGAAAAAGTCTGGGTTATTTTCCAAAAAGGGGATCATGTCTTACATAGGCCTGCCAGCTACTCTCATTTTGTGAAGGAATTGCCATTCACACATGTGGAGCCTGCTGTATTCACTTTATTACTCTCAGTTCTAATAGTTTCTTTTCCTCTCTGTGCCGCTACAGGGAACTGAACTCACCAAGAGAAGATAAATGTCAGTGGTGTGATTTACATCTCATTACAGGGACCAGTGTTGTTTCCCATTCTGAAATTCACTCCATAGGCCAAATCTTTAAAGACTTTCTTTTTTATTTCCCAACATTAAAATGACATATTTCAACATGATATATGCTTACTTTGACTTAGGAAGAGCTTAATGATTTGGCCCCTGCATTGTGTTTTCATGCGAACATCCCTATTTTGAACAAACAAACAAACAAAAAGAAATTACTATCTTGAGAACAATGCTATTAATCATCTTTGAAAATGTGTTTACTTTTAAAGACAGATCATAAAGAAAGATTCCAAGTATTAAATTTTAGTGACACCACTTTTCTACCCTGTTCAAATGTCTGTGTGCAGACAAAGGGAAGTGGGAAGTTGAGAATTGAGGATACCACGTAAAAGACTAATCTGAATAATTTGGGCCAAAAAATATAGCTTTATTGATCCTGAGGTATGAATTTATGTATGGTTCATTTCTGCTGATGTTTTCATGACAAAAAACAGCAATGCCTATATGCCTTATGACAGTATTATCATGTCATATTTTAGCCACTTTGAGACGCCTTTGAAATAAATAGTCAATATCCTCCCCCATCACTTTGCCATGCAAACTACAGTACCTACCGTCAAGCCACCTGCGGATGGGCCCGTAGGAGCAATTATTTCTCTTTTTGTCTAGTCAAGTGTCAATAACCACAGCACTGACTTCAGGTAGCCTACGTTAGGTTAGTATTTGGGGTCTGTTCATTAACAAGCTCCTTCTCACATATTTTCATACATTAGCCAAAGAGGTTCTCCAAATTACATACTATCTAAGAAAGAATGCTTTTCTCTTATTTCTTAACAATCAAATTCTGATCAAGTCTAAATATAGTCAAAACTCTCAGTGATGAGAACTGAGAAAAGAGGTGGGTAATAAGAATAATCGTTGGAAAGGCTAAGTACCCCGCCCCTTGAACGGCAGGGCAGTCAATCACTCGTCAGTCAGGAAGCTATACCCTTATTATTGACTCATTAAGAGCAAACTCAGAGGTTAATGGCTGCAATGAGGCATGGGGTTCGGAGCAACATTTCTAGACCCTACATTTACCAGCCACAACTTGGGCAAGTTATTTAACCCCTCTCCGCCTCCGTTTCTTTACCAACCAGTGAGGATGACAATACATACCTCTTAGAAGTAAAGATGGAATGAGTCCTTATGTTCGACGTGTTCGGAGCAGCGCCTGGCACCCAGTGAGCGTCCATCAGGGTCGGCTGCCCTGGCCATGTCACCACCATCATCATCATCACCTGTGGATTCCTCTTCACCATGTGGTCTCTTTCCTCTTGATGCAGGTATTTGAGAGCAGCTGAATCGGCTCATAGCTGATTGGAATTCTTGCATTTCTACTTAAACACTGCGGCTGGGAGTGCAGCTAGGACAGGCGCCGAGACCTTGGCACGATCTAACAAAGCCGAAATGCCGGGTCCCTATAAGCTCACAGCGCCACTCTCAGGCATACCAGGAAAGGAATTTTTAGACCTGTGCACAAAAAGACTCGGTTGGATTAAAATTCATGGAACGTGGTTTATAATAACAACAGCAACAGAAATGGAGACACCCAGATGGTCATCAAGAGAAGGGATAAATGTCTTATTCAAACAACAGATAACAAACAGTAGGGAATATAAAGTATGTCACATGTATCCACTTGGACAAATCTCACAAACATAATATTGAGTAAAAAGGCAACTCGTGGAAGAATGTATCAGTGTGACCCCCTTTACCTATGGTTCAAACCCATGGGAAACGTGCTAAAAAACAGGAACGAGACGCACAACATCCTGACCGAGGTTGCCCCCGGGAGTAAGAGGGGCGGTATTGGAGTCTCCCTGGTGGTAATAATGCATTTTTTCATTTCGGTGGGTATATAAGTAGACATTCACTTTATTGCAAGGTTTAATAACTCACATGTATTATGAATGTGCAAGCCGTTTAACATTTTATTGAAAAGTTCTTCAATAAAGAAAAATAAAAGCACCACCTTGCTGGGCCAGGCTATTTCTCTCGGGTGGCACCCCCATGTACACACTTGCGGCAGCACAAATTTAAAACGGCCCATGTCTCCCCTGGTGCGCCAGGCCCTCTCCTGCCGTGTTTCTCTTTAGGTCCAGCCAGGAGGACGCTCTGCCTCCACTGGCATTTGTGATTGTCTCTTAATATAAGAACATAATATCTGCCGAAATGACCTGGACGCCTCTTCTCACAAGCGTTACCTATCGCCTCACAGGGCAGGAGGTGGGTTTGCTTTCCTACATTGCAAAGAAGACATGGAAGCACAAATCAACCACAATCTCCCCGCCCAACTGTGACAGTCGCTCAGCTTCCTTCAGGCGACTTCTATTCCGTTTTACCCCCAAAGGCCCCCCACGCCCACCCCGTGCCTTCCTTCTGCCTTGGCAAACCACCCACAAGTTCTTTTGGAAGTGGGAGAGCTATAAATCTTAAATTTAAAAAAACCATAAGAGAATGGCACCTCTGGGATTAAAACCCAACTCTCCTGATTACAGGTTCCGTAACTGAACATCCTCTAAATGGGATTTAAATCCATGCTCGCTGTTCATTATGCAACAACACGCAAGAGGAGAGCTGGGGAGGGGACGGAGCGCTGAGAGCTCGGCCCGCACTCACCACTCACCACTCACCACTCACCGGATGCCAGGAACTAGGCCCAGCCAGGCCAGGCCACCCAGCGGCCCTCCCCCCTTCCGCAGCCCCCCAGGGCTTCTCTCTGCATTATTTATTTATTTCCCAAACTTGGGGGTGGGAGAGGAAAGAGATGAAGAAAAGGAAGTGATTTTTCTTAATAGGTTTGCTCTTCTCGCTCAGGTAGAATCAATGCGAGTGGGTTGGAGCACACTCCCTGCCCTCCCTCCCCTCCACACTGCTTCCTTCCACTGTAAATAATTCAGATAATTACCACCACCCTCCCCCCAGGCTGTCCCCCTGGACGGTGCGGTGGGGTGGCCGGTAATGGGGCTGAGGCTGGGGGGTGGCACCAGCAGCGAGGCTGCAGGGCCTCGGCCTGTCCTTCTGAGCAGGAGGACCTGCTTCCCTGGGAGCGGCTGGCGTTCTGCTAAGGGGCCTGGGAGCCGCACAGATTTTAAAAGGCTGCTCTAATCTAGATTCTCCGTATGTCATACTAATTTCCATCTTTGTGCATGAGAATAAAGCTTTTATGAGAGGCTCTAAGGCACCTTCCCACTCCCTCTCCAAAAAAAAAAAGTGTGCCTTTTCTCCCAACCTCACCTCTTCCTAGAATTTTTACGTAGGTTTATTTCTTCGTGTAAACCCTTCGCTCACCTATGTGGGCCTTATTAACAAAAATTTTTAGGAGCGGGGACGTTCTGCTTCGGAACTGCAATAAAGTTCAGGTAGAGATGGCGCGAGTTACAATATGAGAAAGACCCCGGGCATGTGCCCTGACAGGGGACTGAACCGGCGACCTCTTGGTTCAGGGGTCGACACTCTACCACTGAGCAACACCGGCCAGGTATAAACAATATTTTTTTTTTTTAAAAACGGCATAGGCAGGAGTGTTATGATCCCAGCTTGTTACTGGCATTGGGCAGGTGGCCATTAAAGAAAAAGCAGGACAACAGCTCTCACTCCCTCCCCTGAGCTGGTGGATAGGCCTTGAGGGGTGCAGGGCAGTGGCCTTCGAAGCCCTAGGGCTCTCAGGCTGCCCCAGTACAATGGGAGTAGAGGTTGGTCTCTTTGCTCTGCCGCCCTTCTCAGGGTCAAGAGGGACAGACGCCACGAGGCTCTAAATCTGACCTGCCCAGTGCTGCAGGCGCTCAGCCATCAGTCACACTGGCCCATTTCATGGCTAAGTGGCGGCCTTGCTGGACAGTGCAGACACAGAGCATTTCCACCACCTAGAAAGTTCTGTTGGGCAAGGTTGCTCGAACGCCCACACACTGCAGAAGACGGGAAGACGGGCTGGCCACCTGGGGAAGCCTTTCGAAAGGGAAGGAAAATGATCTCCAACCCGCAGTCGCTTCCACATTTGGCGCAGCCGTTGAAATAAGTAAATATCCCCGGGAACGAGCGTGGCACCCGGTGTTTTGAAGACCCCGTTTCTCCCCGACGGAGCCTTGCGATGCAGCGGCACAGCACTTCTCCACGGGGCCCTGTCCCTCGGCGGCCTACCCGCCCTTTCCATTCGGTGCTCTTCATTGCTAACGTGGCGAAGTTTTTGGAGAGCGGAAAAAGAACATACTCTGGGTAAAAGTGATTTTTTTCATATTCTAAAAAAGAGAAAAGAATTATTGCAAAATACAGTATGTGGAATAAATTCCAAGATACTAGCATTTTATGAAAAGGTGAGACATGGTTATCATCCCACCATCTGTTGCATCTGAGCAAGGACCAGGTTGAGCCCTCGGGTGTCTGTCCCCCACCTTCTATCAGGGGCCAGGCACTGTAGCTGGCTCTGGGGCTTACAAATGTCCCAGACAGATGCCAAGCTCACCATCAACGCAGGAAATGGGAAGTAAAACAACAGGATGCCCTAGAAGGGCCTTCAGCAGGAGAGGGGTGTGAGCCTGGATGAAATCTGAATGCCGTGTGTACACTCACTGGATGTGCTTCAAGATATACACGATTCCTTGCTTGGCTGGTGTGGCTCAGCGGTGGAGCATCGACCTAGGATCCAGGAGATCAAGGTTCGATTCCCGGTCAGGGCACATGCCCGGGTTGCGGGCTCGATCCCCACCGACGGGGGGACGTGCAGGAGGCAGCCGATCAATGACTCTCTCATCATTGGTGTTTCTCTCTCTCTCTCTCCCTCTCCCTTCCTCTCTCTGAATAAAGATATGTATTTTTTGAAAAAGATATACATGATTCTGACTTCATCGTTTTCAAAGGCCATACTTAAATAAAACAAATATTAGGAAACTGAAAAATACTGGTATGTTTTACTGTAAAAAAAAATAGCACAGGATACGGAATATCGGTTTGCTGAATTTTTAGTGTTACCATCACCAGTAACAGCAGAATTTCAAAAGATTTCTTCTGACATCCAGAATGTTACGCACTTGTTTCAAATATGTTTTACCCTTTTTAAGGAACTCTGATGTCTGGCATGGCTTGTGTTTACCTCAATTTTCAGCTCAGTAGTCCAGATATTTATTCAATCTTCTATTTAGTCATCCGTTCTTTATGCCTTTGTTCATCCACACACGTTTTCCGTTTCAACGAAACCACACTGGGCATCTGCGATGGCCACGGACTGCCACGCTGCAGAGAAGCAAATATGCATCAGAAACCTCCCCAGCCAGCAGGCTAGGTAAGACATTCATTCATTTGTTCATTCATTCGTTTTCCCAGTGCCAGGCATTACGATAAACCTTCTTTCAAGGTTTTGCAGTCACAAAGGAGAGAGAAACAAGCGCAGTCACTATAACAAAGGCAGTGACCATCTGCAAGAGAAGTGCAGGGACAGAAAGTAATTAGGGGTTTGGAATCATGGGAGCCCACTTCCTGCTGGGAGAGGAGGTTGGCTTCCTGGAAGAGGTGGCATTTGAGCTAGATCTTAGAGTGGAAAGCCACTGGAGGTGTGCAGACTCAGGGAGACAGAAGAAAGGAGGGACAGGGTATTCCAATTTAGCTGGACATCAAGTAGGGGGAGAAAAGGCCGGACAGGCAGGTCACAGGGGTGACAGAGGACTTGAATGTCAACTGTGCCAGAAACTTCCCACATGAAGACCATCCCAGTCAGCAGTGGAAAGCAGATTCCAGCACCCGCCCCTATTAACGAGGGGCAGCCACTTTATCCGCACTCGTAAATACTTAAGAGCCTCTGTCCTTTAGGCCCACTGGGTGACTGGTACCCCACGCTGTGGGAAGTCATTATGCATCGGTTACAATGCCGGGGGCCAGCGACACCAGGATCACATTCCAACTTCGTTCCTCTCCTTTCAAATGTTTACCTTATAGTTCAATGCATCTTCAGAGTGACAGATCTTTTACAAAAGCCACACGATTACCCCAGGAGAGTCAAGAAAAGGATTCATCCTCAAGGAGCAGAGATTCGTAGCTTGGGCGGTGGGAAGAACCCTGGGCTTGACGCCAGAAGACACCCCCGGCCTGGCTCTGCCATTCAGCGGCAGGGGGCGTTGGGCAGAGCACACTCAAGCTCTGACCCTCAATTTCTTACCTTCCTGTAAAAGGGAGGGAGATAAATGAGGTCTGCCCTCACTCAGCTACAAAATACTGGGAACACAGAAGCTATTATTACATTTAGATAAGAGTTTGAGAGAGTTATACTGGTTCATCATCTGACAAAACCAAACCCAGAATAACTTTTTCTTTGTGAATAATGCCCTCTCCCTCTTCAAAGCACTAATTTTTTTCTAACTTAAAGCTACTATTTCTTTTAAAATATTTTATATCTACATTATTTCCTCTGCTCTTCTTTTATTTTTTTTCTTAGCTCTTGCTTGTTTGTTACTTAATTTACAGAAAGCAAAAGATTCATTTTGTGATTTAAATTTTGAAACTGATCATGAATCCCTTGAATTCCTTCTGTGCACTTAAAATCATATTGCTGGCCCGGGAAGATACTCAGGGAGACAGAGAAAAAGGGGGACAAAGACATTACAATCTCATTAGTTACTTAAGATAATTTATGTTGTTACATTATGTGTATAGTTAGAAAATCTAAATAAAACAATAACTGAAGGTGGGCTGTAGCTGAGACCACGTGCTTCGGGGCATAGAAAAATAGAGAACTCCCCCAAGGCAGGAGCAGGCAGGGCAAGTTTTATCCAGTGGGTGGGTCTGGGGTGAGCTCTGACGGTGGGCAGGATTTGAATGGAAGACAGGAGAGGGTGGGCACCCCAGGCCCTAAGAAGGCAAAGCGAGGGTTACAAGCAGTAGGTGACCATGGATGGGCCAAGAGAAAAGTGGCAGGTCAGGTGGATAGAAACTGTGGCACAATCAAATCCGTGACAATTCCTTTGTCTTCCTTGGCATTCAAATCCTTGCACTTTTGACGATTACAGGTCAGTAATTCTTCCAAATGGGTTTGTCTGATGTTTTTTCATAATTGTAGTGAGGTTATGCACTTTTAGTAAGAATACCACAAAAATAATGTGTCTTCTGTGTGTCGTGGGGGTGGGGAGTGGGAGGCACTGTCTTATTACTGGTGGTGTTACCCCTGATCAGTTGGTTAAGGGGCAGCTGCTGGGTTTCACCACCATACAGTGACTACTTTTCCTTTGTAATTAATAAGCATCTTGAGACAGATGCTTTGAGACTATACAAATATCCTGTCTCTCCTCAAATCGCCCGCTGATTTCAGCACCGACCAGTGGATCTTGCATGCAACGATGCTTACCGCAGCATTTGCAGAATCCTAGCTCGCACCCCCGAAACTAGAGGGAAGCAGCTAATGAACCATCCCCCTTGCTTCCCAGCCCAAACCTGACCAGTAATGAGATCTGAACCAAGTGTGCAAAGGGGTAGAAAGGCCCAGCTCCTGAAAGGAAGGAGCCTCGGCCACAATTTCGAGGCTGCTTTGCAGAGTCGACTGAACAGCAGTTGACAGACCTTGCTCAGAAGGCAAAGAGGACAACCAGAGAGCACAACCAACTTCCATGCTAATCAGGGTGAATAAAGCCATGACCCAGAACAGAAAACCACAGGGCCCTGTTTAACACAACCAGGGAACTCCACTCATTCAGCCAGACACCGTGTTTTCCATTTGTAATTAGAGTCACAAAGAAACAGCCTCCTCGTGCCCTACACCACAAGCAGAACCCCAGACAACATCCTCATTTTCAATAACTCTTCCCCTTTATCTCACTCTGCCTGATGCCTAATAAGCTGATTGCTATTTACTTTGGACCAACAGCTAATCTGTTAATGATTGATTTTAAATTTTTACAGTCATTTGTCTCTAGCAGGACCTGAGACTGCAAAAGGCAGGCCTTTCCTACATGATGAATTGGCTTTTTCTTCTTAAAAAAAAAAGGAAGAAAGAAAGAAAAAGAAAAAAAAGAAAGGAAAAAGAAAAACGTTGAAGTCAAAAGTCTTTGTGGTTGCATTCTGCTGACGAAGAGTTGACACTGACATTCCACCAGAAATTTCAATGCAATAAAAGAAACGGCAACTCTCCCTCTAAGACCCATCTGCCTTTGAAATTGCCAGCAAATAATACGAGTGGACATTTTGCTAATGGTGACATGGGGTAAAGACCCTCTTTCGTATGAAGCAAATTGTAATTGTACTATAAGTTTACAGAGCCTAAAATTCTTAATTAACAAAATTGATGCTCATGGCCCAACCGTAATGGGATCTCTAAACAAATGCTGTCACTGTCCTTTCAAACGATCTAAATTGCACACCATATATGTGCATTTTTGTCGGATATATGCAGAAAAGTGAATTTTGCCTCCCATTTAAAAAAAGGCTCTTGAATCGGCAATGGTTGTTTTAACTGCTATCACACAGCAGCTCTGCAGTTTCCTCCCCGCTTCTAAAAGCGGCGCTGCGGAGAGCTACTGTGTCCCCAGGAGCAGGGGAGCCCCGCGCCTGGAGCGCTGCGCACATCTCAGCCCGCAGCCTCGGCAAAGCTAAGCTTGCCTCGGACACGCCATCTCCAATTTTGTAAATAAGAACGACTCCCGTGGCTAGCATTCCCATCAAATATTTATTAAAACGCACCCAAAGCCCTCCCGCCTCAAAGTGGAATTGGGCTCATCCAAGTGTCTCCGACGAATGAGTGTGATTTTAAATGTGACCTGCTAGGCTGATTGGGGGGAATCACTTGGTTAGTTCTATAAATGTCTAACCACTATGCTGTGCACCTGAAACTCACACAGTATTGAATGTCGACTACAATGGAAAAAAATGTACCTTTAAATTTAAAAACAAAGCAAAACAAACAGAAACATGAACCAACACTTCCACAAAGCGCAAAGGAAGCGTGCGGGTCCAGAGCGGTGTTTCGGTGGCTGTAAGCAGTGGCGGGTCTTCCTGGAGAGCCAGTGGCATAAATTCACAGAGCTGACATTTGGCAGAGCCTCTAAAAGGAAAGGCTAAACCATTGGAAGGATAAAAGCCCTAATCTTATTAATATTTTAGATCCTGCAAGACATGGAGGCTCCATCTGCCATCAGCAAGGCCTGAGGAAGAGTCGAGGTGGCGGGGGACAGAAACCACGGCCTCTGAAATGGTCTACTGACCTTCCTGGGAGGCAGGTATCATGTGACACGATTGCCTATCTCAGCAGACCTGCTGGAAACGGGAGAAAGTGTTAAATATAACCAGGTAGACAGTGATGAATTGACACACTGAGCAATCGAACGCTTCAGTAATCAGCCTAAGGATCTGATATCAACATTTTTCAGTTTTGTCCAAATTCATTGAAAGGTGTGCTTTAGCAAGTTCACTTCTCATTGGCAAGACCTTTCATCTTCCCGCGGCTTTTCTGATTGGATTCCGTGTCGTCACTGCTTTGGGTGGCTCTCCCACGAGAAGCAGACAGACTGTTCACTTGTGGGAGAAGAGGGACCCGGAGGAGCACAGATATAAATGGGTTCTACTCCCACATTAATTTAAAAACTATTAAATATCTATCAAAATGGTTATTTAGAAAGAATTATTAAAGCCGTGGTGTATGAAAATGCATCAGGTACTGTGTTCTAACAGCACAGTAAACCTGCAACATTGAAATATCGCCCTCTACTTTGCAGGAGGGAGCTTCTATAACTATAATTCTAATTATAGACCTCTAATTAATGTCTACATGGCTTCAGATTACCTCATTAAATCTTTGCAATACTTATATTATCCCCAGACAATCTCTATCCATTAGAATAAAGAAATTCTTTAAAATAACTTTTTAAAATGCTACTGATGTGCTTTTCTTTTTATGAGACACATAAGTCATACAACTCACTTTAAGGTTTCATTCATCTTCATAGAAGTGTTCCAAAAACTCTTTAATTCAGAAACACTTTTTGTCCCTGGTTCAGCTGTAACAAGGCTGTCAGCTGAAGTCACTCCCTTTCTTTGACACTTAAATAAAAACTGACTCAAACGTCCATCCTACATCCTGTGGGAACTCGTGTGTTCTCCCCTAGATTTCTGAGAATTCCTTAAAGCATGTATTTTCATAGTCACTTCTCTCTCCAACACTTCTTTGGACTAGATTTTTTTTTTTTTTTTTTACAGTTTTTTAAAAATATATTTTTATTGATTTCAAAGAGAGAGGAAGGGAGAGGGAGATAGAAACATCAATGATGAGAGTCATCCATCAGCTGCCTCCTGCACGCCCCCTACTGGGGATGGAGCCCGAAACTCCGGCATGTGCCCCGACCGGGAATCGAACAGTAACCTCCTGGTCATGGGTCGACGCTCAACCACTGAGCCATCCAGGCTGGGCTGGACTAGATTCTTGTTCTCACTGTCTCTCATCTCTTATAGCTGCCCTGTGCCAACCTAGATTTTGAAGCTAAGCACTTTTACTTGATTTCTGCCAAAACACCTCTCAAAAAAAGTATCCGTGTTGAGCAGACTCTATTTCCTTAAAAGTCTCTCATGAAGTGTATCACAACACCACCTTGCTTTCTCCTTGACTTCATGCCCCCCTTCCTCTTTCTCCTCTGCTCTTCCCATCCCCAAATTCCTATAAATTTCTTCCACAGAGCAATTGTCTGTCTCCTAGTCTAGCTCCAGGCTATCTCCTGAGGGCCTTATCTTCATAGCCAAATGCTTCCATTAGGGTGGTAGACAGTCTCCTCCCTGAGAGGAATTCCTGGCTAGCTCTTAAAATAACAGATTTTTCCTCTGGGCTGCTCATATATTACAAGAAAGATCTAATTCCTGCAAACATTCAGGAAAAGAAACACAAAGAACAACTCCGTTTGTGATAAGCACCCTAGGAAAACATGGAAAGTCTACAACAGATAGGAATATAGAATCAGAATTTGGGGGCACTATACTTGAGGGCAGGGCTTGAGGGGACTCTGCTTTCAAATTCACCCTGAGAATGGTCAGTTAAATGATTGAGTCACGGATAGCTACAGAGCCATGTTGAGCTGGAAATAAGCTTTCATCCAAGTATCTTCCTAAGACTCTAAGCTCCCGGCTTTCCCCAGGAAGCCCAGTGTGGGAGCACCATAAATGGGCTGTGTGGGGGACTGATTTCCTCTTGCGGACTAAGCCAGCACCTAAAATGAGACAACGCTCTGATGCTTGGATGGGTAGAAAGAATTCCAGGAACTGACAAGAAGTTAATTGCTTTTCCTTCCCTCCCAGCTTGACTACAGGAGATAAAGCATCTCGCCAATACCCATACGCTTCAGGCCACTCAGAACTATATGGACAACAACTCAGCGTCGGACTCGCGTGCCCGCATTAGATCAACAACCTTAGGAGAGTGCGAAAGTCCCAGATCCGTGAACACAAATAGAGGATGACTCGATCCATTGGCAAATTCAGACACATCCTAACATCTCTATTGGGATCATTGATGCAGAAGAATTTTACTTTAAAAATGCTTACATGGGTTGCTATTCCAGGAATTTTTTTCTGGCTCCCGTAGCAAAGCAATGATGATTTCTAAACAGATAACGAAAGTTAACTAGGTTCAAGCCTAAACAAGAATTTGCATCTTAGTTCACTGCTGGAAGTGTATGTGCCATGTCTACTATGTTTAACTCAATGGGAGGCAGAAGTGAGAATATCCGTCAGTATAAAATGGAATAAAATCATTGCAAACTACTTGAGAGGGAATCAAGTAGTTAACTCTATTAAAATTGGTTGCACCCTGGTCGGGTGGCTCAGTTGGTTGGAAACACCAAAAGGTTTCCAGTTCAGTCCCCAGCCGGGGAGTGGATAGATGTGACATTGATCAGTTGCCTCCCAATGTCACATCGATGTTTCTCTCTCTGTTTCCCTTCCTCTCTCTCTAAAAATAATCAATAAAAACACATATGGGGGTAAGAATTTAAAAAAAATCAGTTGTAACCCATGTCCTTTAAATTATAATATATATGATTTGATAAATTCATATTTAATTCATATATTTTACATATGATAATAGCAAACATTTTTATAATACTTACTGTAAGCCAGGCACTATTGTAAGAACTTTATATATACTAACTCATGTATTCATCACAACTACTATTATTCCCATTTTACATCTTGGGAAACTGAGACATAGAGAGATAGTATAACTCACCTGAGGTCACACATAACAAATAGCCAAACTGGGATTTGAATGCAGGTCTGGCTGACCAGGCTTGTACACTTGGCCTCTGGACTACAGAACTTCCACTAAACGTCACCCCGCAGCTGACCCTCAGCAACTTCACAGTAGGAGCACCAAAAACAAGATCCACTAAGTACTTGAGGTTTGAGGACACAGGCACACCTCACAAATCCAGCCTAGCTGCAGGGAGGGCAATGGCTGAATTAAGGGAATTTGCATTACAAAGAGAGCACTGGTTTGGTTCATTCCAAATGCATACAGAGCCTTCAACCACAAGCTATTAAGTGTGTCAAGTATAGGTTGGGGGGGCGGGCTGCTTAAACAAACTATACTATTCAATATGGCACAATATTAAAAAATAATTTAACACATTCCTTATACTCTTACTTGAACTATTCATTCTTTTGCAAGTCATTTCTCCACTGAAAATACGAGGGGAAATAGTAGCCTGGCCAGGTGAGCCAGTGCACGCTTTGCATAATCAGGATGCATGGAGACTACACGGCACAGCGATGGGTCTGACTCTCTAGCCTAGCCCACGAGACGCTGCAGGCCTGCAAATGCATCTTACCCGAGCCGCCTTGCATGCAGGCACCCCTCTGATGCGGGCAGTTGGCGATCCCAGCCATGTCTGAACTTGAATAGACAGGTGGGTAGGACGCGTTCCTCCGACCCCCACAACTCCATTCTCTCTTCAGTTATTATCCGCAGCCCTTCACTCGCACGTGGCATAAACACTTACTTGTTCATGCACCTGTTTAATTAATTTCTGCCTAATCTTTTTTCTCCTAAGACTCCAAAGAGTAAGTATACCCAGCAGCGCTGACTGCCCTCTGTTCTCCCTTTTCGGCAAAGGCGAGGATCTGTTCGGGGATCTACCCTCCCGCACATAACTCGGGATTAACCCTAACTGAGCCAAGCCGGTAACTGGTTTGGCTGTGTGCGAGTGAGCGGATGTCAGCTGAAGGGTTTCCAGAAAAGTCAGCTGGAGGGCTTCTGGGTTTCTGTATAAAAACATACAAGAGGAAGAGAGACGCTCTCTCACCATTTCTGCTGGATGTTACTATGTTGAGATGTGATGTCTGGAGCTGCAGCAGCCATTTAGGACTATGAGACCAGCTGGCCTGAAAATGACAGAGCAGAAGGATGAGAAGAACCTGGGCCAGGCATGATGTCACAGAGCCACCAAATTAACCACAGAACCTCTCTGCTTTCACCTTTCTACTGGTATGAAAGACTCACAACCCTGCAAAATACATCTTTTTCTATCTGTCTTATTCCGAGCGCTCACTGGCTCAGCAAGTGGAGTCAGGGCTTTCTGCTGCTCTGAGCTGAAACCTGATTGTATAATTCACTTTAATGAATTTGTTCAACATGTATTAATTAAGCACCTACTATCCCCGGGCATTGTTCTAGAACTTGGGGAGAGAGCAATAAATAAAACAGACAAGTCCCTGCCTTTTGGATATATGTTCTAGTAGGGACCTCACTTTGGGCAATGCCTTATACACATAGCACAGCACAAAATGGGAAGAGAGAAGGCATCCAGCACTGGAAGGATGGGAGGAAAGCTGCCTTTATTTGCATCAGAGCCCTTTTCAAACGCTGTTTGTCAGTCATCAGAGCAGCATGGTGATATTGGTATTATGGCCCCATTTTACAGGTGAGAATACAGGGGCTCAGATCATAAACGGCAGAGCCAGGATAAGAATCCAGGTCTTCACCAACTCTGACACTCTTTCGGCTCTCCTGATACATCAGGTCTGCAGGGTGGTGAGAGGGTCAACCGTAGTAGCAAAGCTAGACCCCCCAGATCCTGGGGTGCCGGCATGGGGACAGGTCATTGATACAGGTCTCCTACCTGGTCTTGGACCGACAAAGGGCCATTGTGGGCCCTGTGATGACTGTAAACAGGACAAGGCAGTAAAATTCAGGACAATCTCAAACAGATGGACAGCTGGCCACTGTGAGATAAACTCAGAGCTCTCGATGAGTCGGTGGCAGCGCAGGAAGGAGCGGAGATGAGGGCTCTGAAGGGTCTGTGATTTCCTGGCCTGTCAGCACTGATCCAGGCTGCCCCGCAGGGATGTGGCCCCACCCTCTGTAGAAAATAAACAGGAACAGCTCCTGGGTCACAGATAGGTTGACAAAAGGGAGGGGACAGGAGGACAGCTGGGGATTTTATGCATAAATAAATCCTTCCAGAAACTTCTGCCTGGGAGCCACTTAGGGACACAATGAAGGTGGTTCCCATTTCTTGAGCAATTGGTACATGCCAGGCAGTGTGCTAAGTCCTTCCTCTGTAGGATCATATTATGAAGTTAATTCTCTTGCTATTCTTGTTTTTACAGATGAGGAAACCAAGGCACCGAGTGCTTTAGTAACTTGTCGAGGGTCTCAGAACAAATAAGGGGCAGAGCTGGGGTTTGAGCCAAGTCTGTCTTTTAATTCCTTCCTCTATGCTCCCCTCTCTGACGGTTTATGGCGCTTGAAGACCCTGGGCGCTCGCACCCTCCACTCTGATGTAGGACAGCGCTTTTCAGTCCATCCAAAGTGAAGGACCCGTTTGCTTGCTCATCTGTGTTTCGTCCAGTCTGCCATGGATGGACACAGAGGCCTAATCCACTCCTCGCCCAGCCCACTCAGCATCCCCTGAGACCACCCTCTGGCCCTTCTCAGACGGTGCAGCAGTGTCAGATCACTGTGGAGTTTTAGCTCTAAACATTTCCTCTCAGTTTCTATGTGTGTCTCATTGCAGTTTAGCAGTGAACAGTTCAGACAGGCACCGGGCCACAGAGCACACTTTACCCAGCACTGATCTAGGACACTTACTCTGCAGGCCCCTGGACCTGAGAAGGCCAGAGGGCCATTTGACAGTAGTGACTATTTGTCCACACAGGTACATCTCAAAGAAGGAGAGCCTAACATTTAAAAATTCAAATGAAAAAAAAAGTGGAAGCAAAGACATTGATGAAAAGGTAGTTCACAGGCCTAAAAGCATAGTATAAATCACCCAAAAGCATATTATAACCACTTTCATATTATAAACCACTAAGATACAATTATCTAACAGTGAAAGAACAGAGAAGTAATTCTGGTAAAGACAGTCATTGGAATAGTACACAGCCATTGGAGGGATAGACATGATATTAAATAGAAAACAAGACTGACATAAAATTACATAAATAGTATGATCCCATCTTTAACACATCAAAATCTGCTATCAAGAAAGGACTTTATAGCTCAGCTGGCGTGGCTCAGCGGTTGAGCACCTATGTATGATCCAGGAGGTCGCAGTGCGATTCCCAGTCAGGGAGGGCACATGCCCGGGCTGCAGGCTTGATCCCCAGTAGGGTGCGTACAGGAGGCAACCAATCAATGACTCATTGATGTTTCTCTCTCTCCCTCTCCCTTCCCTCTCTCTAAAATCAATAAAAACATATTTTAAAAAAAGAAATCACTTTATCAACAATTTTGTCCTTAATTGTAATTTGGTAGATTATTTTAGCTATTGGCTAGCATCAATTTTTTCCTTAGCATACTTGTTAACATCTAGCTGTTATAAATTCGTTCTCACTAAGGTGTAAACGACTGATAATGCCTAATATTTCCCAGGGAGCACTTGCCCTTTAATGGGAGACATCATTAGCTAAAAGAAATTGTCTGATTTCAATAGAAATAATACTTTGAAGCCAGGGAACAGATAAAACTGACTGGAATCCCTGGTATTATATGCCACATGCTCACAAGCTTGGTCCAAGCTCTTCTCCTTCCAAATGAAAAAACAAGAGTCCTTACCTACACCAGCAAACCACAAGGCCAAAAATATAAATGGCTGCCTTGTTCATCCACTGAGAAGGTATATATGTGAAGGCTTTTGAATTATTTAGGATTTAAAACTCACCTACCTCTCAAAAGAATTTAAAAACACCGAAGAAAATTTAAACAATTCAATTTTTAAAAAACAGAATAAAAACAGCTTACAATATCCAAATAATAGCTATAAAGATACTACTATAGCGGAGCAATGAATTTAATTTACATTTTCCTCCCAGGACACAGCATTATTTTTTACTCAACAAAAATTTGCTGATGGACTGTATCTCCCACTAGCACTTCTCACATTAGGTGTTCAAAATGAACAAACTTAATGAGAGTGCAGCAACTTCAAGGTTTAATTATTTCTTCCTAAGGAATCCTGTGGAAATCAATACATAAGTTGCGAAGGATTTGGGAAATTCCAAAGCAACCGCACACTCCGATAATGGTTTTATTTTTCCACTAGGCCGTTCAAAGCATCTCAGGCCTGAAGCACATTACGTGTGATTGCTTTATAATGCAGCGAGAGCTCAACAGACGCCCCTTCCCCTCACCTCACCATCAGATGACCCACACAGGTCGAATTTGGTGTCAAGCAAATTAAAAGTGTTATTTTATTATCCAAAGTAATTGTTTAAGTATTAAAAGACCATTATGCTGAATGGGCTATGTTGGTGATGATGCCATTAAGCGTTCGGGGCTAACTACTGGTTGAGCTGAATGCCCAGGCCTATGAGAGCCTTCTCGGAGCTCTCCTGTATGTGGCAAATCATTCTTAACCGGGTACTCCAAATGGTCTGTGTACCTCAGATACATTTTTCTAAGCCATTAACTCACGGAAGGCCCTCCTCAATTCTCCAAGCGACCATTAGTGAACAGCGTAGGAAGAAAGACCCTGGCCTCCCACTGTGATGTGGCTGAGGCTCAGAGCCACTCGTCGGATGCCATCTCTATTCACGTCAAATATACTAGGATGCGAAGGGGGGCCAGAGAAGAGAAGGCTATTAGAACAGTGCTTTCATTAGAGCATTTTAAAAAAATCTTCTAAATACAAATACATTTTTGGAAGCCTCAAGGAATCTCAACTTTGTAAAAAATTTCGAAATAAACTCCTTAGCCTGGCCCTCAAAGCTCCCGTATCTGAGGACTCGCTGAGTACTAACCCCCCCATTAGGGGATTCAAGTATCATCGCTGATGTTTGCAAAGCCCTGCCAGGTTTCCTATTTTACAGATGGGAACAGAAGTTCAGAGAGGAGAATCTGCCCAAAGCTTCGTGGTGACCTGCAAGTTATAGCAAAGATCCGCTTGGGTTTGTCTCTAAAACACAGGCTTTTACTGCAGACTGACTCCCTAAAACACAGCCATCCAGCTTCAAGCGTAGTCTTTGCCAGGGGGGAGCTTATTTAAGTCCATAAACTAAGAACCATATGGTTAATCATAAAACCATCAAACCCCCATAAAATACCCAGAAACAAACTTTACAAGAAACGGGCAAGATCTATTTGTGAGACACACACATCCAGGGACATTCAAACAAAGGCCGGAATAACTGGAAAATCGTGTCTCATTCCTACACAAGGCTCAGAATTGCAAAGAAGCCAATTCTCCCCCCACCCCCAAACTAATCTATAAATTAAATGCAATTCTAACGAAATTCCCAACAGGATCTTCTTTGAAACTTTGACAAATGATTCTAAAGTTCACCTGGAAGAATAAACATTGAAGAACAGCCAGGAAATTTCTAAAAAATGAACAGTAATAAGATATTAAAATGTGTGGTCCTGGCTCAGAAATGCAGTGATCAAATGACCATGGTAGAAAGTACATGTGGACTTTTAGTACATAATAGAAGTAGCATTTTATATCAGTGGGAATAATATAAATTATTAAAGAAATGATCTTGAAAAAACTAGCCAGCCATTTGGAAGAATAAATAGAGCTGGATCCCAGCCTCACTCTTTATACTGAGTTAAACTCCAGAGGGATCAACAATTTAAATGTAAAAATTGGAACTATAAAAGTAGCAGGGGGAAAAAGATGAAGGCTTTTATTACCCAGAGAAAATGACAGTCTTGCTTATCACGAGTCAAAAGCCATAAATACAAAGAAAAAAACCTGATAAATTTTATTTTATTTAAAAAAATCTAAAGCCCCTGTAATTTTTAAAAGACAAATGACAAATTGAAAAATATCTGCAACACATATGATTTTTAAAGAACTAATATACTAACCTAAAAGGAGTATATAAAATATTTTCTTCTTTATATTCCTCAACATTGTTTGATTTATTTTACAATGAGCAAATACCATTTTTTTCTACTGAGAAAAATAATAAAGCTGTTCTTATTTTTAAAAATAAGTATTTGTTTAACCAGGCCTATGTCCTCCGGCATTAACTTCCAATATTTAAAGCCCCAACCAAACACTTTAGATCAACCCTAACCACAGGGATTCTCAAAGTTGGATGCACTTAACAATCACCGGGGGAGATTTTATTGCTGATTTCAGGGGTAAAGGAATTTGCCTTTAAATTTTAACAAGTATCTTGATGTGTCTTCCCTGCTAACCTCACTTCGAAAACTACTGCAGTAGCATATCCAATCACAGAACATTTTAACCGGCAAAAAAAGTATACTGGGAGGCTATCTCTGAATTACCAGGAGATGTGGAAATATCCAGTGCTTCTTAAAGTAGCATTAACCATTAAAGAATTGCTATCTCTGTCTCATAGCTTTGGTGGCCCCTTAAGATCTGATGTGAAAATGTTAGTGCCAAATGAAACTTATTTATCTAGGTTTTATCCTCAAGCTCTCTTACATTTTATGCCAGGAAAACAATTCAGAATGACACTGAATGCTCTGCAGCCCCTTGATGTGAAGTATGGGGGCTCTGCCTTCTGCAGTTAAATGACTCTTACAGGAATTCAATCCGTGTGCAGTCTAAATTTCATTTACTGAAGGTGCCACATATGTTTTCTAAGGTGAAAAAAAATTCTGATTCCTTACTGGAACTTTTCTGCTTCGTCTTGACAATCTGATTTTCTCAAAAACTCGGACTGACCTTTGCAAGTTTCAGTGGGCTCTTTGTTCCCTCAGTTTTCACGGCAGTGTTAGGAGCTTCACAGGC